TTCACCGCCTACAAGGAGAGACCCGAGCCGTCCGACCAGAGCCTGCCACCTCTCAACAACTTCTCAGTTGCAGGTACAAGGCTGGGGAGTGGCACCCGTCTCTCTGGCATTGGCGCCTGCTGGCGCGTGGTTGTCCCTGGCCCACAGGCCTGTGTCTTTACACCCCGCACCTCGTCCAATCCGGAGAGGAGGCCTCAGTCTCCCACGTCCCTCTGCCCAATGGCATAAACAGAGCTGAGACTTGGCGAGCTCATGACAAGCTGCCCTGGCTCAGGTAAAGCCTCTTTTTGCCGCTCCATGAGCTCAGCTGCCGGTGGGGCTGAGCATCGGCTCATGTCTGGGCCTCTGGCATGTGGAGGACCAATCCTCCATCTGCCCCAGCTCATGGGAGACGGCGGCAGCTTGTGCCTCTCACGTGCCGTGAGGAGCAGAGCTTGTGGAGGCAGGCCTGCCGCTCACCATCTGCCGCCTCGTGGGCACGATGCCTCGGCTGCAGCTGGTGCAGGGCCAGGGCAGACAAGGTCCAGGGACCCCTGTGGGGATGGGCTGCTTCTTCCTACGATTCCCTGTTGCTTCGTGAGGGCAGAGATGCAAAGAGCTGGTTCCCAACCGTGCCAGAGGGGTGCGCTGAGGCCTGGTATCTGGAGCCTTCTCGTTGGAAGGAGATGTGATCCTGGGAGCCAGGGCTGCCTCTTACCTCTGGTGCCCACCCCTGTGCCCCCAGAATGCCAGCTGATGGAGACGGAGCGCCCCCGGCCCAACACCTTTGTCATCCGGTGCCTGCAGTGGACGACTGTCATCGAGAGGACGTTCCATGTGGACTCCCCTGACGAGCGGTGGGTGCAGCTTGGGCCCCCACCCTGTTACACCTCAAGCACTGGGCTCCCCCCACCCCCATGTGGGGCCTGGCCAGGACCTGATGGAGGATGGGGGGCTTTGGGCCTTTCCCCCTGCAGCAAACAGGGAGGGGGAGTTGGGGAGGTCCCAGGGGGCTCATAGTGACGGCGTCGCCCAGCAGAGTTCGGGTGCTACCAGCAGGTCCTGCCCCGTAAAGGGAACGGGCAGTTGTTGCCCCAAGGCAGGCGGGGCGTCTCACATTGCGCGTTGCATGTGGCTTGCCCGTGTTATACCCATGCAGGTGTCATCTGTCCATGTCCATCCCGGGACCGTTGGCTGCCTCCTGCTCTGTGCCACTACTAGCAGATGGTGTCTGGGGTCTCCACCCGTCTGCCCATTCCCAGCCCCTGCGGGGAGCACGTTCCTGTCCCCCCCAGCCCCAGGCTTCACGAGCTCCCTACTGAAGCTGGCAGGAGCTGTGAGCTTTGGGAATGGTCATGAAGCTGCCATTGCAGTGGGGGAGCCCCCCCGCCATTCAGCTTGTCCTCTCCCCGGGAGACAAGGGGTCTTTGCCCCAGGATGCCGCTAGAGAGCAGTTTCTAGCCTTGCCTTGGTTGCAAGAGTTGTACGCGGGCAGAGAGGCACAAGTGGCCCTGGCGAGCAAGAGCCAAGACAGCTGCAGCAGGACCAAGAGCCAGATTCAGGCTGCCATGCTCAGGGTGAGCTCAGCCAGCAGTGAGGCCCACCCATGTGTCACCCCCCTCACTGTCACCCCTGTGGCCCACAGGGAGGAGTGGATGCGGGCCATCCAGACAGTCGCCAACAGCCTCAAGAACCAGGAGCCGGAGGAGGATGCGATGGATTACAAGTGTGGCTCGCCCAATGACAGCGCAGGTGCCGAGGAGATGGAAGTGGCCGTGACCAAGACCCGTGTCAAAGCAGTAAGAGGCTGGGGGGGCCCCAGTCTGGATGGGGGTGGCCTTTATCCCAGCGCACGGGAAGGAGGGTTGTTCCCAGAGCTTTGAGTCACAGGTGGAAATCCACAAGGGCAGGGGGGACAGGCCAAGTCCCTTGGGGAGCGAAGCGTTCCTGTCTCGGGAACCTCCTGCCAGCGCCGGCCTTAGCTCGTCTCCCTGCTCCCGCCCCTGCAGACCATGAACGACTTCGACTACCTTAAGCTGCTGGGCAAGGGTACCTTCGGCAAGGTCATCCTGGTGCGAGAGAAGGCCACGGGGCGCTACTATGCCATGAAGATCCTGCGCAAGGAAGTGATCATCGCCAAGGTGCGGGCAGGACCTGGGCGGGGCCAGCTTGCAGCAGGCGTCTCCCCGGCTGCCAGTGATGTCCCGCTAGCGGCCCATGCCCTGGACACGAGCCCTTCCCGGAGCGATCGCTTTGGAAACCGCTCCTGCTTCGCTCTGTGTTGCTTCCTGTCGGGCTTTTCTGGCTCCCATCAGTCCCATGCGGGTAGCATAGCCCTTTACCCAGCCCCCACCCCGCAGCTGGAGGCTTCATCGGCCTGGGCTGGCTCCTTGGGGGAGTGGAGCCCGTGCTACAGTCAGCCGGGAGATACCTCAGCGCTGATGGTCCTTTGACACCTGTCCCACAGTTCCCCTCAAAGGGCAGACAAGTCCTCCCTCTGCTGATACAGCCAGCTCCTAGAGCATCAGCACAAAGTGCCAGGGATGTGCCCCCAGGTGCAGAGGCAGTGGGCTACATTCAAGGCACCCCCCTGCGAGGCTGCCGTTCCCCCCTCAGCACCAGCTGCCCCTGCTCCCTGTGGCTGCGCAGCCTCCAGTTCATCCATGCAAAAATCTGAGGGCTCAGGGCTGCGTGGTGCTTGCTGGGGGCTGGGCTCACGGCTCTGCCTCTCTCCGCAGGACGAGGTGGCGCACACGGTGACGGAGAGCAGAGTGCTGCAGAACACCCGGCACCCCTTCCTCACGGTGAGGCGAGGCCTGGGCCCGGGCGCCTGGGGCGGGGGGTGGTGCCAGCTCGGGAAGCAGCTCTGTTAAGTGTGTGGTCCCCGCTGTGGCTGGTGGGTCCCATATGCCTTGGAGAGCTGCAGGACCCCGAGGCAGGGCATAGGCTTGGCTGTGGGCAGCAGCCAGAGTCATCCTCTGTACAACTGTCACAGAACAGTGCTTCCAGCATCCGTGGGACGCCACTGCCCGTGGCCCCTGCACATCTGCAGTAGGGAGCCTCCCCCTCATCTCTCACGCAAAGGGGCTAGAGGCCAGGCCTCCCCCCAGACCAGCAGAGTCAGCTCAGACCAGGAGCTTGGGCGCTCTGGCTTTGCCATGACCCCGCCACCCAGCATCTCCGCTGGGGTGACCACGTGAGGATGTCCCAAGCACCCTGGAGCTGAGCAGCCCTTGGCTGCTGGTTCTCCAAGGCTCACTCTGTTGCAGGCGCTGAAATACGCCTTCCAGACCAACGACCGGCTCTGCTTCGTCATGGAGTACGCCAACGGAGGGGAGGTAGGTATGGGTGCAGTCTGCAGCCCTGATCGAGTTCCCCGCCCTTGCAGAGCCACCGCCCGTTAGAAAAGCCTGGAGCCCAGCTAGCGGGGGCTGGCTCTGCTGCCCACCTTGTGGCGAGGAGACGGCTTATGTCTGCAGACAGACTCCTGCCAAGGCAGGGAGAGTCCCCCAGTACCTCTTCCCAGATCACAGGGTAGGGGTTGCTCTGAGCCGTCCAGGCCCTGCTCTGCAAACATAAACCAGCAGCCAGGACTCCTGGGTTCTGTGTCCAGCCTGCTCCCAGACTCCTGTCTATGGGCAAGCCCCTCCCCATCAGTAATGGGGGCAGGGGCTCGCTCCCTCCCTGCTAAGGGTGGCCATAGCCCTGGACACGGCTGTCAGCCTCCCTCCTGGATCATTCCCACTCAGCAGACGGCTCCAGCGCTCTGCTCTCCGGCACGTCCCGCAGCGCGTTTGCCGTCCTCATCAGCTGCGGGGGCCGCAAATGTTGTGAACGCGACATGGGCAGGGAGCGGAGCCGGCCCTCGCACTCGCAGCCTCACGCCCCGTTTCCCCTCTTGCCAGCTGTTCTTCCACCTCTCGAGGGAGCGTGTGTTCACTGAGGACCGGGCCCGTTTCTACGGCGCCGAGATCGTGTCTGCGCTCGAATACCTGCACTCCCGTGACGTAGTGTACCGGGACATCAAGGTAACGCGGGGCAGGGAGAGAAGTGCTGCTCTCCCCCCTGGCATCGGCAGTCCCCTCGCATCCCGGCCCAGGTCCAGCTTTAGCAGTAGCCGGGCCCTGAGCCTCTATCTGCTGACCCGCTGGTCCCTGGGGTACAGCAAATGTGACTCTCTTCCCTTGTGATGTTCTCCTGTCGCTGTTCCCACTGTTTGCTGCTTGGGGGGGCACGATGCATCTCCTTGGCCACGCTACGGTAGGATTAGAATCACAGAGAAGAGCTGGAAGGGACCTACGGGGTCACATCCAATCCACCCCCTGCCCGAGGCAAGATCACCCGTGTCCAAACCGTCTCAGACAGACCCCTTGTCCAACCTCTGAGCAACGCCCCGGGCATCACCCCTGCCCCAGGGAAAGCAGGGGGGCTGCGGCTGCCAACGTCCTGCTGTTGCAGAGGGCGTTAATGTACTGTAGTTACTCGATACCAAGACGAGGCTTTTTTCCCCAATTAACGGGGGAGGGAAGCTCCTCATCTTATAATCATATCCAAGGAGATCTGACCAAATACATCATCTATCATTAAGCTGCTGCCAAAAGCTGTGCGCGCTCAGCAACGGAAACCAACTGTGAAGTTGATTAAACACAGCCAATGCTGAGCATGACTAAAACCCGCGGCTCGTGCTGGGCTGATGTTTGGATGGGAACCTACCTTTTTTTTTTTTTTTTTTTTTAATTTAATTTCATGTCTCTGGGCAAATCATCCATATCGGAGATAGCCAGAGCTCAGAGCCGTGGCAGACAGTGGCAGCACCACACAGACCGGAATGATTGAGCTCTGCTCGGTCAAAATCTGGAACTGAATTCAGAACTGATTTGGCCCCAGAAATGAAAACTGAATTAAAAAAAAAAAAGGTTTTGGCTAAGATCAAGTGTATAAGATCGAGTCTACAGCGAGGCTTGTCACAGAATCATAGAAAATGAGAGTGGGAACAGGCCTCAAGAGGTCACATGTAGTTCAGCCCCAACTTGATCATCCCAGCCAAGGCTTTGTCTACGTTCAGAAACACATAAGAGCAGAAAAAAGTGAGCTACCCATGCTAACGCACAGAGTCCGTGCCAGAGCTGCGAGCTGAACCCAGACAACCCAATTTCCAAAGTCACTTAACAACACAGCTGCACTCTAGTTGGCCCTATGGCTATACCTCGCAAGATTATTAAGATTACATTGTTTTACAAGAAATGACTAAATATAGCCACTTTTCACTCCACTCTATTACAAAAAGATATGCCTCAGTGGCTTCTTACCTCTTAGGTAGGTTTTTTTTACAGTACAATTAGCCTTCAGACATTCTTCCTCCCTCTGCTGCCTAATTTACATTTTCACGGGGAGGGAATGCACTGATGAATTCAGAATTTATTGCACGCCGGAGAGAAAAGATAAACACAAGATAGGAGTATTCATTTCACATAATCATAGAAAGTTCAGGCTGGAAGGGACCTCAGGGGGTCGCATCTAATCCAGCCCCCTGCTCCAAGCAGGACCAGCCCCAACTCCATCATCCCAGCCAAGGCTTGGTCTACCCAGGTCTTCAAAACCTCCAAGAATGGAGACTCCCCCACCTCTCCGGGCAGGCTGACCCACCCCCGCGGGTTTCCCCAAATGCAGGAAACTCGACTGCGCGATTTCATGGCAATGGGGGACTGCAGTCGCACCTTCCCCCGTGCCTTCCTGCTTCAGCCTTGTGGCTAGAGGCAAGTGGGACGAGGGGGCACCCAGACCCCAAAGCCTTCAGGTTTGGGGCTTGCATGTAGGAGGGATTTAGGGAATATCCGAAAGCCCAGAGCAGTGGCTCTGGGAGGAAGGAGACTTAGCCCGGTGGTAGCGCCATACAGACTTGGTGATTGAGGTCAGCTCAGTTGAAAGTTGGAACTTGACTGCTGGGCTTTGTCCAGTTGAATTTGTGTGCGCGCGTGCACACACACATATGCACACACTAGATATAAATAGGTGTCAAAGTGCTGCTCAAAAATGCATTTATGAAACGCCCGTGCTCAAACTTGCGGCCTTTTCAGAAGAAGGCAACAGGCACCGGTTCTGGATGAGCTACATCTGTGGATGCTGCAGCCCTGTTTAATTTCAAACATGCTCCTCGCTTCCACAGGCTCAGGGAGCGTGGGTCCAAGGGGAAGGGGCTGACGGGAGAATCTGCCCCCCCCGCCTCTATTTTCCCTGCCGTAGCAGTGGGGGGGGCGGGAATTCAAGGCAAACCTTCAATAATTGGTTTCTATACCCGGAGAATTTTAAAAGGTATCACATCTACCCAAAGAACCCTGCCTGGAAAGATGATAACACTTACAAATTTTCCGTATGTGGAATCTAATTATTGGGGGTCTCTTGATGAATCAGGGTTGTCTTCTATTTGAGTAATCCCAGGCAGAGCTTGTATCCCTGCTGCAGAGGAAGGCAACCCCCCCCCCTCACCCCAGTATGTGCCAGTCTGACCATAGGGGAAAATCCCTTCCTGCCCCCAGTGCAGCATGGGGCTGACCCTGAGCGGAGGGGCAGGACCCTCCGGGCTTGAGTCCCAGCTGCCATCCCCAGCCAGGGCTGGAGGCAGTGCCCAGCACCTCTGGGGAAGGCTTTAAAACAGCAACCCTGGAATAAAAATTCCCCCCGGTCCATGCGACAAGCAGCAAAGCCTGGGAGCTCCCCATAGCAGATCACGGGCATCATAATACCTAGATCACCTGCCCAGCGGCCGTCCAGCCTCTCCTAGAACACCTCCAGCGATGGCGAGTCCTCCCTTTCCCTGGGCGCCTGGCCCACAGCCTTGCTGCTCCAACAGTGAAGTTTTCCCCAATATCCATTCTCAGTCTGCTTTGATGTATCTTCAGGCCACAGGTCTGCATCCAGGGCAGGAGAGGCCAGACCTTGGGGTGCTAGTGGCCGGGGTGGGGGGAGGTTAGCTTCCAGAGCATGGGATAGATGCCTGGAGCCAGGTAGGATGATCTAGTCCCAGCACCAGACCCCCAGCGCCCATTCTCCCCTCCTGCCTTTTAGCTGGAAAATCTCATGCTGGACAAAGATGGCCACATCAAGATCACGGACTTCGGGCTTTGCAAGGAAGGCATCACGGACGGAGCCACCATGAAGACCTTCTGCGGCACGCCCGAATACTTGGCCCCAGAGGTACGTGGCACCCGGGACAGCAGAGCTCATTACCCCAAACCCTTGGGGTGGGGAGCCCCAGAGGGTTATCAGGAGAAAGACTGCTCTAGGGACAGGACTTTCCCCTCTGCTTCTGTGGGTTTATTCGGCCAACAGCACATGCGCTTGTCCCTAGAAACGCACCAGTTGCCTCGCAGGCTATAGCCTGGCTGCCCAGCCTGCGGCTCAGACAGTCCTGAGCCTCACTGGGGCATTTGGGCATCTAGTCCAGCCGTCTGCAGTCCAGATGTCCACAGTCCAGCCATCCAGCTTCCCATAGTCCAGCTGTCATAGTCATGCTGTCCAGCTGCCTGTAGTCCAGCCACCTGTAATCCAGCCATCCGTAGTCCAGCTGTCTGTAATCCAGCCGTCCATAGTCCAGCCGTCTAGCCATCTGTAGTCTAGCCATCCAGCCACCTATTGTCCAGCTGCCCATAATCCAGCTGTCTGTAGTCCAGCCTCTGTAATCCAGCCATGTGTAGTCCAGCCATCCAGTTGTCCAACAACCTTTTGTTCCCAAACTGTGTTTATACCTTTTGTTTCTGGCACTTTCGCTATTTTCCCTACTCCTCTTCCTGCTCCACTGGCTACTTACAGGCGACGTCCACCGTCTGTTTCTCACGTGTGGGCTTTCTCTTAAAATCACATCGGCCCAGGCATTGCTGCGTCCCATTGCCCGTCTTCCCCACGGTCACGGTCAGATCTAGAGTTTTGAGAAGGGGTGCTGAGGGCGAGGTGCATTGTCACGTGTAAAACAACACAGTTTTCCCCAGGCGAAACTAAACCAGAAGCTCTGCACCTAGGGGTGGGGCTGACCCCACACCAAGCCAGGGCTCACCCAGCTGTCTGGGGGGTAGTGGGAAGGGGGACTCGGGATCCAGGCGTGGCCCTCGGTTCAGGATCAAAGCAAAAACAGGCCTAACTTTATTGAAACGAGTTAAAACAACCTGCCGGGCTGCGAGGCAAGAGCTCGGTGAGCAGGAGCGCAGCAGGACGGAGGGCGGCGGATAGGGGAACGTCGAGACCCTTGATGAGAAACGAGGGTCGTTGGGAGCTGAGAAGGGACCAGGCAGTCAGTTGCTTTAGCATCACTTGTAGCTTCCCGCTCATCTCAGACCAGGCAGCGGGCTGCCCCTGGCTCTATCGCGGGACCGGGCACCGGCAGCTCGATGGGGGTCCCCGGTTCACGCAGCTGCTCCCCCCCACCCCGCGCCCGTCTGCTCCCCGCAGGTGCTGGAAGACAACGACTACGGGCGAGCCGTAGACTGGTGGGGCCTGGGCGTCGTCATGTACGAGATGATGTGCGGCCGCCTTCCCTTCTACAACCAGGACCACGAGCGCCTCTTCGAGCTCATCCTCATGGAGGAGATCCGCTTCCCCCGCACCCTCAGCCCCGAGGCCAAGTCCCTGTTGGCCGGCCTGCTCAAGAAGGACCCCAAGCAGAGGTGGGTGCACAGGGCATGGACCCCCGCCTGCTCTGCCCCCCTCCACGCACCATGGGGGGGATCCCTGCTGGCTTCGTGGGTGCCCAGTCCTGCATCCAGCCCCGGAGCTCCCTGCCGTGCTGAGCTAGCTCGCACGGTGCCATGGCTTCCCCTGCCGAAGGGCTCCGGAGCCTACGGCCGGTTGCTCCCCAGGTGACCCCCAGGCCCCTTGGAGCTGCCTCACTGGGGCAGGCTGAGCCTGGGGGCTGACAGCGTCCTTGCGCCCGCAGGCTCGGGGGCGGCACCAGCGACGCCAAGGAGGTGATGGAGCATCGGTTCTTCGTGGCCATTAACTGGCAAGATGTGGTGCAGAAGAAGGTGAGCGGGTCCTCGGGTCTATGGGAGCCAGGTGGGTGGGGGGACCCTGCGTCGCTGACTGCAGCCCCCTTTTCCCCCCAGCTGGTACCACCGTTCAAGCCCCAGGTGACGTCCGAGATCGACACGCGGTACTTCGATGACGAGTTCACGGCGCAGTCAATCACCATCACGCCACCTGACCGCTGTGAGTACCCCACCACCACTGGCCTCGGCCATGCCAGCGGGCAAGGCTTGTAGCCCCTGACCCGTAGCTCCCAGGCTGGCTGCCCCCCTGCCCATCTGCACCACAGCCAGCAGCAGATTTCCCCTCCCAGAGAGCGCACACCAGGCTCTGCATCTTCTAGAGACTTCATTGTCGCCAACGGGCCTGGCCCGGGGTGGATTGTGACGTGCTGGGCTCGGGGTGCTCGCTAGAGCCCTGGCTGCATTGGGGCCCCATCATGCCAGGGCCAGGCAAAAGACCCCCGCTGTGCCGGCTGGGACTTGGGCACCGTAGAGGTGCTTCAGGCTGTCCCATGCAGTCGTGCCCGTGCCTGCTTGGCATCTCAGCCCGGCCTGGCACGGGCCAGTGCACGGCACTTCCCAGGGCCTCGCCCCCACTTCACCACCCCTCTCCGCCCGCAGATGACAACCTGGACTCGCTGGAGGCCGACCAGAGGACGCACTTCCCGCAGTTCTCCTACTCGGCCAGCATCCGGGAATAGCGTGGCAGAGAGGGGCCCAGGGCTGGCAGGGCTCGGGGGCTGGGCGGGGCCCGCGCCCCCCGCCGCCCCCCCAGAACCCAAGTGCCCCGAGCCCGGCGCACAGCCCCGAGGACTCCCGGCCCTGGCTCCGGCGCGGAGCTCCTGGGATCGCTGCCGCTGTCCCCGCAGGAGCCCCCGGCCCTTGGAGGAGAGCAGCTCTGCCGCTGCCCGAGCAATAACATGTCTCCATCGGTGCCTTAGAGCTAGGCCCGGGGCTGGCCCTGCCTGCTGGCACCTCCTGGGTAGGGGCATCACAGAAGCAGCCGGCAGCTCCGGTTTGGCACCTCTCCAGGGGCTCAGGGCCTGCGGGGGGGCCACGCTGGGGCTCCGGCTCCCCCGTCCCCGTGCCATGAGCTGCCTGCGGGGCCGGGGCCTGCTCGCAGGGACGTCGCCTTCATTGCCACGGCTGGTGATGGACATGGGTTAGAGCCCCACGTACTGCCTCCGAGAGCCTGTGCCAGGTCCGGCCACCCCATCCGGCTCCTGACTCCACTCCCCCCCTGGCTACCGCAGCCCTCCAGAGGAAAGGGGGGCTGCTGGCACCAGGCTGGAGCCCGCGCCGGCAGGGGACAGGCCTGCACGCGGACAATGCGGAGAGGCCAGACAGGCTCCAGTGGCAGAGGCTGGCGCCCCAGAGACTGGCACCAGCCCCTTCCGCCACCTTGCATTGGGACTCCCAGCTGGCGTGGCGGTGCGGACCTGTTGGCAGGGCCCGGCGCCCCCACGAGAGCTCGTCTCGACCCACGGATTTCTCTGCGCTGCATCGGGGGCAGCACAGTAGCGGGCAGCGCGGCATCAGGTGCTGCCTTGCGGGGGCTGCGCGCCCCTCGAGGGCCCCGGTGCGGTTCCTCGGCGCGGCTCGTCATCTGGTTTTCTGTTTCGCGTTCAGGACAGAGCTGGACCGGGCACGACCTGGGCCCGAGTCTGGGGGTGGGGAACGGGAGCGGGGGGAGGCCTGG